TGATTAAAGGTTATCTTTTATTTAAAAATATATTTTTGTTATTGAATATATATTAAATATGGTCGACATTTAAGGTACATGTCTTATTGGTTTAATGGTAGGACCTTAGTTAAAGGCTAACTAGGTGAGAGATTGAATCCCAACGATAATAACATTTTCTTGGAAAGATATTGATACTAATGACGATTCAATGACTCTTGTTGGATTGAATATCCCTTCAAATCTTAGTTAAATTGATCAATTTGGTTCAATTTTTTAAATATAAATTAAAATTAATTTAGAAAATAACAAAAAAATTTGTCTAAGTAAATCAAATAACTAAATTAACCAAAATTTGAAGTTCTAAACAAATTTAGTTATAATTAATTTGGATTTGAGCAATTTATTCTTACCACTAGTGGTTATTATCTCTCTCTTTAAGAGCATTTTAAAAAGATTAAAATTTAAAATTCTACAAATAAGAAAATAACCAGACTCTAGACTTTCTCAGAAGAAAAAGAGAAGTATGATTCTTCTTGCTTAGCTTTAATATGTTAAAACACAAAAAGAATATAAGTTAAAACATGTAACGGGTAATAATATTTCTTTTAATTTAAAAATTTCATCATCCATATAAAATAATAATTTGATAATTTATTTAAAAATTTCAGTATCCATATATAAAATAATATTCCTATTATTGTTATATATAAGCAAAAGGAGCTTTATGTAGAAAATTAGAACACTTCGATTGGGATAGGGCACTAGTGAAAGGAAGGGAATCAATAAAACTTTTTGGCAGCAATGAGGCTGCCAATCTGTGCTTTTCCTTGGAGGCCAAGACAAAGAAAAGAAGTCAAGTTAAGGTACGATATCTGCCAAAGCTACGTTATTTGTTTATCAGATAGATCGTTCATGTGGCAATGGTTAGAGAATAAACTTCCAATTGGAATCTGGTGGAAAATATTGAAAGCGGGAACCCTACAACCAAAATAATTAAATACCAAGCACTATAAATATCATGTCATCATGAGGTACCAAACATGCCATAAGGGTGAAGGCAAATGTCAATGGGTCGAAGTTGATGGACATCCACCGCTTTTAATTATTTCCTTAGAAATCAAGCAGCCTGCCAATCATATCCTAGGGGCGGGGAACCCTTTGTTGTTTTAACGTAATCAATGAACTAGGCTAGTTAGATGTCTATCCAAATCCCAAGCCCAAAGCACAAAACCTTGAATTTCATGTGCATCTACTTTACCTTTTTTCTTTTCTTTTTTTTTTTTCAAATTTGGTTTTGGTTTGTATGTATAAGTAAAAAATAAAAGATAAAAAAAATATTTTTTGAAAAATAAAAGAAATTTTTTTGTCTATCTCACTTAAAGATTTGGTATGAAATCCGCTGGTTTCTTGTTTTTATTACTAATTTTTGTTTTTTCAAATGTTGTTCTCAATAAAAATTTAAAATTAAAGTCATATTAAATTACAAATTCATAAGGATCAACAATAAAACTAATTTAAAAAGGGTGATCTCATGCGAAAGTAAAAATCTTTTTTCTTCTATTAGAAATGGAAGTTCAAACTTTAATTTCGGTCCACAAAAACTATTGTTTTACTTTACATATTTAAAAGCGTTTTTGACCTTTTTCTTCGAAATATTTTGGAACCCTAAAAGCTTCATTAGTTAAGCTTTGATATCATAATCTTTAGTGTCCTCCTTGTAGTTATTGAAGGGGTGTTTTTTTTTTTGTTTTGTCAAGGAATTTTGTCAGTATTATTTTTATTAGATATTTTCTTTTTATTTATTTTTCATTAATTTATAAATTTTAAAAAATTGAAAAATTTCACGTAATTGCCGGTTGTGATCTAAGTAAAGCTAAAAGCGGACCAGATTCGCCGCGTCCAGCGCGAGAGTCGGTCCATTGACAGACAGACAGCTGCCGGTGTCTTTTTAATTTTCCGCCTTCGTAATGGCCGTTGAAACCGCGTCTCTGACTTTTATGTTCACCCCTTTTTTCCTCCCTAAAATAATACAAGGGGCCAATGCCTTGAATTACGCTAAATAAACCTTTACCCCTCCTTTTCCGAAACTGGCATCAGATTCTTGATCTTACCACTCCTTTACCCTCCAATTGTTTTCAACATGGAAAGGGTATTGTTATTTGGGTCTCGAGAAGCATGCCAAAGGGAGCTGAATTTGGTGTCTTAATTTCATCAAATTTACATTTGAGGTTTGAGAATTTTATTGCCCCACAAAAGGAATTGGACCTTTCATAATTCATTTCTTGTTTCACAAGATATTCTCTCAACAAAACCACATCACCACAGCTCCAATACAATTAAAAAAACTCATGACATCATCATATTCAAACTCATTAAAATGGAATAATTTTCACAATGACAAGACAAATATCAAAATAATTATCTTCATATCTTCTATAAATAAAATAACTTGACCATTCTATTCAATAGTATCATCTCATGTTAAGAATCACTTGAGTTTAACTCAAGTGATGAAAATGTAAAAATATTTATAAAAATGTTAAATTCGAAAAGTAAAACCCTCTCTTGTAAAAAAAAAATTATTTAAATGATGGGTTTGATAAGATTTATAATTTAATTAACTATTATAGTGATAAAGTGGTAAAGTATTAATCTTTTTTAAAAAAGAAAATTTGTATATTTTTACTGTCTGTATAAGTGGATTTATCTGATTCAATCGTAATTAAAATGAATAAAATTCAAAATTGTAACCTCTTGGAATGGAAGATCTAACAATATGGCAAGCAAGTATAAATGGACTACAACTTCATTGGAAATGAGTCTTATAAAGTAATCATCGTTTCTTGTAACCATTTGGTGGTAGGGAACATGTTCTTTTTTCTAGAAAGAGAGCGACTTCCATTGTTTTGGAAAGAAGTTGTGGTGTGAACTGAAGTGTGGGGTTGGATTGATAATTGTAACTGCTAAACAAATTACTTTTCATCAAAATGTGTATATATTTTAATCACACGTGCAAATGTTACGAAGCAAAATAAAATTAAGACAGCTCATAATACAAAGCTTAATAAGTTGAGACAAAGTGAATTATTACAAGTTAAACTATAAAATAGCGATTTGGTTGGCTATCATTTAGCTTCAAATCTTCACGATATTCCATTTCATAAAATGAATTTGGCTTATATGTCTGGCATCTCTTGGCAGTATTGATGGAAAGGGGTAAGGAGGAAATATGGTACTCATATTCAATCTTATTTAATATGTTAAAAGTTAAATTAAAGCACGAGTTTCTCATGTATAATTATCAAACAACAATTAGTTTCTCTATATTGATTATTATAAAATAAATAAATCAAAAAAAGGAAATACCGATGTCACTGAACGAATATATTCTTTGATTTCTTTGTAACTTTTATTTTCCCAATTGAAGCCAAAAGCTGTTTCCTTGTCCATTGGTTTTGTTTAAAAAATGGTTCTTCTCTTCTCTTATTTTATTTTATTAATTATTAATTGGAATTTATTGGTGACAAATTGTTTCCCATGGTTTTTGTCTCCAAACCGGAAAAAATAAAAGTTGATTCCCATTATGTTGGATTAAAAATATTAGTTTTTATTTTTTTACAATATGACTTAGACGTCAACTGAAAACTCATGCCAAAGACTTGACTTTTTTGGGAGCACAAGTTGTTGGCTTCACTGGTTCAGGGCGTAACTATGGTTTGATTAAATCAACGTCTTGGTCTCAATTAGCAGTCCAACTGACTGATTATAATAAGTACAAACCTTAGTTTAGGACATGTTCTGTTGATTGTTGACTAAAGAAAAGAATATTAAATGTTTATTCATATTTTTCAAAACTTTTGGGCAAAATGGAGGGGAACAGGTGCAGGGTTCGCCATGTTCAATGGCCCTGGGGAGCTTTTCTTGACCTCTTCCCCATCCACACTAAAATACGCCGTGACGACGAAGGCATGTGTACTAGGCCCTGTTTGGTGGATTTCGGTTGTTTTATTTAGTTTGGTTCTTTTTAATGCAATTTTTTAATTACACCCCACAAACCCTTAATTTTGCCCAATTGATCATCATTATTTTCTCAATTAGATGCCATAATTAAGCCACGTTGCTAGGCTTAATAATTCATCATTAAAGTATTTGCTTTGGATGCCATAAAATAAACTTAATTTTTGTTTTTGTTAAAGTCAATATTGACTTGAGATAATATTCAACAAAGAATTGAAAATCCTTACAACTCAATTTGGTTACATAAAAGTTTAATTGCAACTTGATTGTTGGGGTGCAAGTTGAGAATCCTCTACACCTCAGTTGCAATGATACTGTTTGGGGGAATTAAGAAGGTGTCATTAACAATAACAAGGACAACATTAATTAGAATGACCATTTTTAAGCCAAATATGGATAATTGGTTACAAATGCTAAGCATATTTCTCCACTAATAGCGACACCTTTTTCTCTTTTAAAGAAAATATAAAATATATAAAATAAGATAGGCAGAAACACCCAACCCAAACGATGCTTTGAAGAGGCTTGGGGTGAGGTGCCTTGTGCCTTGCGCGGGAAAGTTCCCATACGTGGGAAACAGGGGAATTAGCAGTTGGGCGGTGGACCCGAGCCTAGAGCCTCGTATTTCTAATTCCATACGTTTCAGTGGGTGGCTAATGGCTAGCTAATGAGCAGAAACATCCTAACACGGTTCGTGTTTGGAAGGACCTAACCATTGTCCAAACTGGGCTGCGATGGCTTGTTTTGACCTGTGCTGCTCCCCACATGTTGCCCCTTGTCTGCGATGGAAACATCCAACAACATTTTCCTTTAATTTCTCAAAACTCTCTTTTTTGACCAATAATTGCAAACTTATCAGCGGGGTCAAATTTGGTATTTGAAAGTAGTACCGCCTTTTTATTTTCTAGACAATTAAAGATATTTGTTTTCAATTTCAGATGGGGCAAAGTCTTGCTTACTTTTTCAACGATGCGACATCCCTATAAATACCGTTCGCCTCTCAGAGCCTCCTTCACCAAAGCAACAACAGCTCTAGCTTGACGCAAGTTTCTTTATTCTCTCTGTTTCGCAGTGCATTTCATACATTTTTAGACTTTTTTAATTTCTTAAGACATCAAAGATGGTGTTATCTAAGACGGTCTCCGAGTCCGATGTCTCGATTCACTCCACGTTTGCCTCTCGCTATGTCCGAGCCTCACTTCCCAGGTAATCCCTTCAACTCCAATTTTCTAACATGGATGCCTGACTTAATAAATGGTGCTCTAAAAAGGCATTGATTTCATGGTGATAAGGTGGCTGATTTGTGTGCAAATATTGCAGGTTCAAGATGCCAGAGAACTCAGTACCAAAAGAGGCTGCATATCAGATCATTAACGATGAGCTGATGCTTGATGGGAACCCAAGGTTGAACCTTGCCTCTTTTGTTACTACCTGGATGGAGCCTGAATGTGATAAGCTTATCATGGATGCCATTAACAAGAACTATGTTGACATGGATGAGTACCCTGTCACTACCGAGCTTCAGGTATAAATTTCTGACTCTCTCCTCTCTTCTTCTTCATTCAAATCTCTTGTTTTAGCAAATGTCTTTCAACGTTTCTGAGAAGTTCTTGAAATTGGTATTTGTATTACAATCGATAACAAAGACCAAAAGAAGTTCTGGTTTTTGCCACAACATCTCAAGAAAATGTAAGCAACAATTTCACAGAGAAGTCAAACGCTTGAATGGTCTTTGTCTCTTTGGTTGAAGTGTCAATCCAGTTGCAATAAACAAAATTCCTTGGAAGAAATTTGTTTTACCATCATAATAGGACTGGAACATAATCATGATTAAAATTTCAGTTTACTAAATGGTGAAAGTGTACTTTTGATGCAGAACCGTTGTGTGAACATGATAGCACATCTGTTCAATGCACCGCTTGAAGACTCCGAGGCTGCTGTTGGAGTGGGAACAGTTGGGTCTTCCGAGGCAATCATGTTGGCTGGCCTTGCCTTCAAGAGAAAGTGGCAGAACAAGCGTAAGGCTGAAGGCAAACCTTATGACAAACCAAACATTGTCACCGGAGCCAATGTTCAAGTGTGCTGGGAGAAATTTGCGAGGTACTTTGAGGTGGAGTTGAAGGAAGTGAAGCTGAGGGAAGACTACTATGTGATGGACCCTGCCAAAGCTGTGGAAATGGTAGATGAAAACACCATCTGCGTTGCTGCTATCTTGGGTTCCACCCTCAATGGAGAATTTGAAGATGTCAAGCTTCTAAATGATCTCTTGACGAAAAAGAACAAGGAAACTGGGTACATATCAATTTTAACAGTAACATAAATCTTAGTAATAGTTTGAAATATCAAGTGCCAAATTTAATATATCTAAACTTATCTCTTCTGCAGATGGGATACACCAATTCATGTTGATGCAGCTAGTGGTGGATTTATTGCACCATTTTTGTACCCAGAGCTTGAATGGGACTTCAGGCTTCCCCTTGTGAAGAGCATTAATGTTAGTGGCCACAAATATGGTCTTGTCTATGCTGGAATTGGATGGGTTATCTGGAGGAGCAAGGAAGACTTGCCTGAAGAACTTATTTTCCACATTAACTACCTTGGAGCAGATCAACCCACATTCACTCTCAATTTTTCCAAAGGTGACAATTCGTATCCGATTTCCTTGAGTCTCAAACTGTCCACATTTCTTTTTTCCAATTCACAAGTTTTAGCAAACCAACACTAAACTTATGTATATTTGTTATCTGCAGGTTCTAGCCAAGTCATTGCCCAGTATTACCAACTTATCCGTTTGGGTTATGAGGTGAGAACCTAGTTAAGGCTTTTAATTCTAAAACAATCCTTTCCAATGCAAAATTTATTCAATTCAATATGTCTTGCTTTCGACATGCCAATTAACGTGATGCAATGATGTTTTAACTACAGGGATACAGAAATGTGATGGAAAACTGTCATGAAAATGCAATGGTCCTGAAAGAAGGATTGGAGAAAACAGGGCGGTTTAACATTGTGTCAAAGGACCATGGGGTTCCCCTGGTGGCCTTTTCTCTCAAGGACAACAAGCGCCACGATGAATTCGAGATATCTGAGATGTTGCGCCGGTTTGGTTGGATCGTGCCTGCCTACACCATGCCAGCAGATGCTCAGCACATCACTGTGCTGCGTGTTGTCATCAGGGAAGACTTCTCCCGCACTTTAGCCGAGCGTCTCGTGCTTGACATCCAAAAGGTGCTCCATGAGCTGGATACCCTCCCTGCAAAGGTCAATGCCAAACTGGCTATGGCTGGCGAAGAGCATGGTAAAAATGGCACTGTCAAGAAGAGTGCTATTGAGACCCAGAGGGAAGTCACTGCTTACTGGATGAAATATGTCAGCGAGAGGAAAACTAACAAAAACAAGATCTGTTAGAACTTGTTCTAACACCCATACACACAATTTTATTCCAATCTTTTCTTTTTTATTTTTAATTTTTGTTTTACGATGTTTCCCTCCCCCAATTTGTTTTAGAGCTTTCTGAGTTGAGCCATTAATGTAATCGATTTTTTATCTTGTAATTGTGAATCTCACAGTGTGAGGTTTGACTTCTATATAATGAATGCTATATAAGGAAGTTTGCAAGTAATGGTTTTTGAGTTCAATACAACGAATCTGATTTAAGAAAATTTCCAATTGATGGCTTACTTGCTTCTTTTTTTCGATAAATTCCTTTGATATATTCTCTTTTTTGGTAGATCATCAATCAAAAGGAATGCAGGACAATCCTCCTACAGAGTAAACATGGAGCTGCTATTGCTAGCATTAGAACAGAAGATAAGAACAAAAACAGGGAAAACTACATCAAGATAAAAGGAGAAAACATGCAATCTAAGGTCGAGTAACATATTCTACTTGGGAGTAACTTTACTCTTCTTTCTTAAGCATGGTGGATCTTCCGCATCTCTGATACAACATAGTTAGTTTACAAGAATAACGATCACATAGGGGAGCTAAGGCTAGCGAGATACTCCTTACCTCAGATCACGATTCAACCATTCATCTCAATTCCCATCAACTTTTGAGTTACCTACTCATTAGTCGCCTCCAAGCATAGGCCTAACAATTCCCCCGATTAATTCCCATGTTTTCTCTGCTCCAACCTGATGGGGCTTTACCGCTTCTAACAAATATCATTATCGCAGAGTTGAGAGAAGGAAACCATTTCGTTCCTGATCCAATCTAAGCTTCTTGAGACTTGTTTCCTTCTTATCTTATCCTCTTACTCCCTCTTCTTTGCATGCTTACTGTTGTGCTTCCTTTCGGGAAATGCGAGTCAATAGACCTCAATTGCCATCATATATCTTCAACTGATTCAACTCCTCTTTTGATTAATATAATTAAATATTAAAACAGGTTCATCGGTTCCCTGAAAGAGAAGTTGCATGAATTATTTTCACTTGCTCAACATTTAAAAAGAGGACCCAATTCCAGGAATCTTTGCTATTTCTTCAAGAATCCTGGTCATCTCCTCCTTTCAGTAGGACTCCTTTGTTCACGCTTGATACCTTATGTCTTAAGCCTAACTCTGCTAATATTACTTACTTTCAGCCATTTCCCCTTCTAATGTAACAGAAGAATTTCCTTTGAGTCATCTTCCACCCTCTGGAATCCCTGTGGATCCTGTTGGCTTTTATATTAAACGAGTTCTAGAGTAAAATCCAGCCACGGGGTGTGCCAATAGTTAATGAATTTTCTTTTACTTTTTTCTCTTTTTTGATTTTGCTATTTAGCCAGGAAATACTTACATATGTATATTCATTTTATGAGAATTTGGCTTTTGTTTATGTTCTTTCATATCTTACAATTCAAGTAATTGAATTCATATGAATTTTATACTATTTTTCTTAATAAATTCCAATCTTTTTTTTTTTTCTCAAGATTCGAACGGAACACTTCCAAATTGAAATTTTAAGTTTTTATCCATGGAATCCCCTTAAGATATCAAACTATTGATACTCTAATAAATTAGTAACAATATTTATTACACCTTGCTTGCATCACCATTTGCTAACTCTTAATGCAACCTCAAATTATAAGTTGGGAAACCGCTAGATAGATACTACTCTCTGCCTTTCTAAAGGTTTTCATTCATTGCTCAGGTTGGTCCAAAGAAACAATAGGCTAAAGCAAAGCATTATTATATAGCATATACCACCATACAATGACAATGCCCAAATCTACGCTGTACAATGTTATCTTCATAATTAATAAATTTATGACACGTTTACTCCTTTGTCACATACATTCATTCTTCTATAGATCATAGTGAAGTGAATTATAGAATGTCTCCAAGCCTGCCAAAGTTGAATGAAATTTTACATACCCAAGTCTAAATGTTCACACGGAGTTTTCATGCCACGTACCTAAGGAAGTGTGAAGAAGAGAACATGCCAGGATAAAAAATGAAGGGAAGAGCATTCTATTTATTAACAAAAAACGTATGAAAGTAGCAGTGGACCAGCAATTCTTAAGTGGGAACATTCAAATGGTTCAAAATCATTACATCTTGAATAAAGATAGAAGCAGAAGCCACAAAATTCTTCCACGTTTCCACAACCACCCCACTAAGCCCGGAGCACCAGCCCACACAAACTTTGTCTTTTCTTTTAATGTGTTGCAGCGTCTGTGTATATATATCCATGGTTTTAGTTCAGCAAAACTCAAGAGTAGAAAAGGTGTTGTGTGAATTGACAAGTTTCACAGAGATGGCTTTCAGATTCAGCTTGAAACCTTGCGTTGTTGTTCTGTATGTGTTCTTGATAAGTTACTCGGTGTTGGTTAGGGATGTTGATGCAGCTGGAGAGTGTGGGAGGACCCCGATTAGGTCTGCTGCTGCAAGCTTGAGCCCATGCTTAGGTGCGGCTGGGAATGCCAAGGCAAAAGTTCCACCTGCTTGCTGCTCCAAGGTTGCTGCCTTACTCAAGACTTCTCCAAAGTGCCTTTGCGCCATTTTGCTATCACCATTGGCAAAGCAGGCGGGAATCAAGCCTGGGATTGCCATTGGTATTCCAAAACGGTGCAACATTAGGAACAGACAAGCTGGGAAAAAATGTGGAAGTAAGTAGTCCCTTTTGGTCTCTTAGCTTAATCGTTAGTTTGATACACCTTTTTTGACACTTGGATTTTCAACAAATTCATGCCATATTGCATTGCTTTGGGCTCAAGAGTGGCAATGGAATAAGCCCAGCAGCGGACATATCCCGGATCCAAGATTACTGGGCCTGACACACCCTCCAAGTTTTTTTTTTTCCTTATAAAGCAAAATCAGATTAATTTCCTTTTCAAGAAGAAGCTAAATTTGTATCACATTTCTCTCAAACTAAAATAATAATAATTGATTAGGAAATATTTAATGGTTATTCACCTTTAAATCTTTGCAAAAATGGTACAAGACAGATGAAAAAAAAATTGGGTTCTCATGTGATTTTTGAAGAATGACAAACTCAACATTAAAAAAAAAAGAGTGAGAATCCCTAAAAAAAAGGTAAAAAGTTCAATTTTCAAGACAAATTAAGAGGTGAAATATGGTGGATTAGATCTAGTTTTAATTCTGAAAAGCATGAGATATATAGAGAGAGGGTTAGTCCAATGTGTACAAGTGCAATGTTTGAGTCTATTATATTGTATTATATATATATATATATATTGATTGGAGGGGATTGGAAATTATTATGATGTCTGCCACTTAATTGTTCAATATAAAGAGACTTGATGCTAACTAAGTATATTTTTGTGTGGCTAATTTTCAGGTTACACAGTCCCATAAGCAACCAACCATATACGAGAAGAATTGGCTATCTCAGTGCATACCACTGTTTTAGTAGGGAGTGCCAATTAATAAATGAAGTACTGCTAAATGGTTTCTTGCTGATTGACCCATCCATGCTGTACTTGATGTATTCTTATGTAATCTCGACAACTTCTGTTGGATCTCCATGTTACTTGACCATGTGCTCTTTTTATGTTCACTCTATATCATATAAGTATTTTGCAAAAACAT